GTAACTCAAACATTGATCCTGATGTGTTTAATGTATACTTTACTGAATCCATTGGTGACATTAAAGGCAAGATTAAAAACTCTTCTTTAACTTCAAGCTCTGTGCCCATAGATTTCAGTACAAAATATGTTGGAAAAGTTAATGTTGATTTTAGTTGGAAAAAGGTTACTCCTAAGCAAGTGTTGTCTGCTGTGAAAAAAATGAAAAGTTCCCAAAGCAAAGATATTTATGGTATATCAAACAATCTCTTTAAACACACAGTAAAAAGTTTAGATAATCCTCTTGCACACTGTATTAATGAACTTTTACAGGAGGGTAAATTTCCCGATTCATTAAAGATTTCTCGGGTATGTCCAGTCTATAAAAGGGGTCCTAGGGACAAACCTGAAAGTTTCCGCCCAATTTCAATTATTCCGGTGGTTGGTAAATTGATTGAAGTTTTGGTGTATGAGCAAGTAAGCAAGTTTTTAGAACAAAATAACCTCTTAAACCCATCCCAATATGGTTTTAGAAAAGGTCTATTCACAAATAATGCTTTGGACGACCTAATAAGAGAAATCCTCCGGTCTTTTGAAGCCAGAACCTATGCTCAGGCCACCTTTTGTGACCTGAGTAAGTCTTTTGACTGTGTTGACTTTGATATTCTTTTAAACAAATTAAATTATCTTGGGTTTTCTGGTTCATCTCTTAGTTTTTTCTCATCCTATTTACAAAACCGTAGGCAAATAGTTTTCACCAATGGAAAAATCTCTCAAGAAAAAAGTTTGAAATGGGGTATACCTCAGGGTTCAGTACTGGGTCCCTTATTGTTTATCATTTATATAAACGATTTGCCATCATCTTTAAATAAAAAGTCCATTTTATATGCAGATGATACCACTTTCTTTCATGTCGGTAGTAAGCTGAGTGAGCTAGACAGTACAACTCATCAGACAATGTTGGCTGCATCAAGGTGGTTCCATTCAAATGGATTATTACTAAATGAAGAAAAAACTCAAAACATTGTATTTACATTAAAACAAGACTTCTCCGTAACTAACACAAACTATGTACACACAGCAAAATTTCTGGGTATACTCATTGACCATCGGTTAGCCTGGAAATCCCACATTGATTATCTGCCTTCAAAATTATCCCAAATCATTTTTCTTTTGAGACGCCTAAGACACCAAATTCCAAACAATTATATAAAAACCGCATACTTTGCTTACTTTCAATCCATTATAAGATATGGGTTGATATTCTGGGGGGGATGCAGGAGAATTAAAAAAATTTTGTAATTACAAACAAAAGCTTTAAGAATAATGAATAGATCTAATCGGAATGAGCACTGTAAACAATTGTTCATAGAATGGGAGATTCAGACTGTTGTTAATTTATTGAGCGGAGCGAGCGAAGCTCTTATACGTCGACTTTTATGCATTTCGTAATACGCAAACTCCTCCTAGACGGCTGAATCAATCGTTTTCAAATTTTGCATGGTGATAAAGACCATATCGGTGAGTGCCAACATCTATATGGCGTTAAAAAAGTCTCTCAGGAATCCGCCCCACTGGGTATCAAAGTTTCAATGTAATCCTTATGGAAGCAGTATTTGACACATAAACAAAGACATATGATCAGCTGTTGACTTTTGAATGCAGTAGATAAAGAAATAGCTGATAGCATTATTTCACAGATATTAGAACAGAAACGGTATGGATCATAAATATAATCAAATGACGACACTATCTTGAGGTCCGTGACGTAGGAAGTGGAGAAGGAAGTAGTAAAGGTGAGCTGGCGAGCTGTCCGGAGTGTGGGAACTGTCAATGACGATTAGATTAAGGTATCTGCAATCCTAAAAACCTATTGGAAGGGAAGGAAACAGGTCCGTGACGTAGGAAGTGGTGAAGGAAGTAGTAAAGGTTAGCATACTGGAGTGTGGAAACTGTTGATGACTATTAGATTTAGGTATCTGCATTCCTAAAATTCTATGGGAAGGGAGAAAAACGGGTCCGCGACGTAGAAAGTGGTGAAGGAAGTAGTCAAGGCGAGCTGGCAAGCAGTCCGGAGTGTGGAAACTGTCTATGACGATTAGGTTGAGGTATCTGCAATCCTAAAATGCTATTGGAAGGGAAGGAAACAGGTCCGCGACGTAGGAAGTGGTGAAGAAAGTAGTAGAGGTCAGCCGTTCGGGGTATGGGATCTGTTTATTACCATTAGATTAAGGTATTTGCAATCCTATGACGCTATGGGAAGGGAGGGAAACAGGTCCGTGACGTAGGAAGTAGTGAAAGAAGTAGTAAAGACAAGCAGTCCGGACTGTGGGAACTGTTTGTGACGATTAGATTAAGGTATCTGCAATCCTAAAATGCTATGGGAAGGGGGGGAAACAGGTCCGTGACGTAGGAAGTGGTGAAGGAAGTAGTAAAGGCGAGTTGTCCGGAGTGTGGGAACTCTGTATTACCAAAAGATTAATGTTACAGTGTTTGCAATCCAATAATGCTATGGAAAGGGAGCGAAACAGGTCCGTGACGTAGGAAGTGGTGAAGAAAGTAGTGAAGGCGAGTTGTCCGGAGTGTGGGAACTGTTTATGACGATTAGATTAAGGTATTTGCAATCCAATAATGCCAAGTAAAGGGAGGGAAACAGGTCCGAGACGTAGGAAGTGGTGAAGGAATTATTAAGGTGAGCAGTGTGGAGTGTGGGATCTGGAAACCGTTTGTAGCCATTAGATTAATGTATCTGCAATGCTGAAATGCTATGAGAAGGGATGAAAGCATGTCCACGACATAGAAAATGGTGAAAGAAGTAGTAGGCTAGCAGTGCGGAGTGTGGGCAATGTTTGTGGCAATTAGATTAACGTATCTAAAATACTAAAATGCTACGGAAAGTGAGGTCCACGATGTAGGAAGTGGCTTAGGAAGTAGTAAAATATGACCGTAGTGTGAGAACTGTCTGTGGCAGTTAGATTAATGTATCTTCAATCCTAAAATGATATGAGAAGGGAAGGAAACAGGCCCCACGACGTAGGAAATGGTGAAGGAAGTAGTAAAGGCGAGCTGTCCGGTGTGTGGGAACTGTTTATGACGATGAGAATAAGGTATTTGCAATCCAATAATGTTATGGAAAGGGAAGGAAACAGGCCCGTGACGTAGGAAGTGGTGAAGGAAGTAGTAAAGGCGACCTGTCCGGAGTGTGGGAACTGTTTATGACGATTAGATTAAGGTATTTGCAATCCAATAATGCCAAGGAAAGGGAGGGAAACAGGTCCGAGACGTAGGAAGTGGTGAAGGAATTATTAAGGTGAGCAGTGTGGAGTGTGGGATCTGGAAACCGTTTTTAGCCATTAGATTAATGTATCTGCAATGCTGAAATGCTATGAGAAGGGATGAAAGCATGCCCACGACATAGAAAATGGTGAAAGAAGTAGTAAAGGCTGGCAGTGCAGAGTGGGGGAACTGTTTGGGTAGTTAGATAAATGTATCGAATACTTAAATGCTATGAGAAGGGAAGGAAACAGGTCTATGACGTAGGAAATGGTGAAGGAAGTAGTAAGGGTTGCAGTACAGAGTGTGGGAACTGTCTTTGGCAATTGCATTAATGTATCTGTAATCTTAAAATGCTATGGGAAGAAAGGGAAACAGGTCCACGACGTAGGGGGTGGTGAAGGAAGTAGTATAGGTGAGCAGTGTTGAGTGTGGGAATGGATTAATGTATCTGCAATGCTAAAATGCTATGGGAAGAGACTGTAGACTGTAGGTTATAATGATCACGAAGCACGAATCGATACATATTTCGATTCATGCAATCGTTTAAAATAGAGATTTACAACTGAGTTGACAACAGCTGATTTTTACTCCATAGAGGCTAAAAACTATTTTTACTCCCTAAAGAGTAAAAATGCTACTTTAGACCCGCAACGCATGCATTAATAAACGGTATCAGCATTCTGACACATACTTTCTCCCATAAGTTAGTCAACAACCTTTATCATGCGTAAGTGGTGAGAGTAAATAACGCAAATGGGATTTGTACAATTTTGTTCGGAATTTAAAGGACTATAACATGCTAAATGTTTCCGATTTTACTAACAAAAACAATATAATGCGAACCCTTGATGACTCCGCTCAATTTTGTGGATGCCTCTGCGAACGCCACCTAGTATATATATATGATATTATGATGTACAACCTTGGGATACATAACAATCTGAAATTTGGCAATCACAGGTATAATACACGAAACAAACATAATGCTGCTTTAGAATCACATCATTTAAATACAACCTCAAGTAGCCACATAATTTTATCTATAAAAATTTACAATGTTTTTCAAAAAGCTAATTGCAAATAGGCCATTAAAAGAATTTAAAAATAAGCTTTACTTATGGTTGTTGGGACACCCCTTTTATAAACTGGACGATTTTTTCAGTTGTGAAGATGTCCAGTTTTAGGTGTAGTATTCTTTGACATTTTATCATTTTAGAAGTTGCTGTTTTTAATTTGTGATTGTACCTTTTTAACTTGTTATGTACATTTTTCAATATGTATATATATATATTTCTCTCTTCAATATTGGGCTATTACCTTTAAGATAGTTTTAAAAGTGAATACATATTGTATGACCTGGCAGTTGCACTGCATCTTGTGACTTTGTCAAAAATATATTGAAATGAAACTGTTCTAAGCTAACCTTTCTGTAACATTTTTAAAAATTACGTTTAGTATCCTCCTCTTTGCCTTTACTGTTATTAAACGGAATTTTTAAATGGTACTGTTTAATACTGTTCTATGAAATGGCGACCATACAAAGTAGGTATTTTAAGCCAAGTATGAATGGAGATGAGTGTGTAGGATGAGTGGCGCGATCTTGTAGTCTTGTTAGTGACTAAGGCCGACATTCCTTACACACAGCTGTTAATTAATAGCCCATACGCAGCTAATGGCAACTAAGGGATCTACAGTTTATAGTGGAATCCGAACCACATTTTTGCCTTGGTAATTATACGAATTGGTCTAATTATCAGGATAGTACAGCGGATAGTCGTAGCATAGACTCGTAGTACTCACCCGTGCGGACGTCGTTAGTCCACACTGGGGAGTATCGAATCCACAGTGCATGCCTATAAATATCCACAATTCGTGACCTCCTAGTAGCTGGATTACAGGACGACGCCACCCGTCCCAGTCAAGTTTGGCATGGTTATGTTAGGTTAGTCAGGGCCGATTTATCGAATAGGCACGTGCCTAGGGCGCTAGGCAATTGGTTTTTTAGGGGCACCAAAAAATTGGAAAATAAAAGAAATGGTGCTTGTATTTGCTTGCGACCGTTGTAATCATCTCTGATAATCCCTCGCGGTCGTGTAGACATCGTAGGCCTAATCGTGTTCCGCGTTTGTGGAAAAATTCACACTATTTTATGCGGTCGTGTGGTCATAGTTATCATCTTCTATGATCGCGGCTATCGTAGTCTTGCACGATCGCGGTCGTTGGTCAAGTTCTGATCACCCCTCGCGGCCGTGAAGACAACATTATAACTGGAGTCTAAACCTTCGCTGAATCATCGCGATGTTGTCCCCTGGCGCTGCGGAGTGGGGAAAATGATTCTCCCTCCCACCTCCCCTCTTCTTCTAGACGGCGCCCAAACAAGCTGGTGTTGTTTTACATAACATAACCTATATTGCAGTTTTTCAACAAGGACGAAATGAGAGTTAAAAAATAAAAATTTATAAAATATTTTTTTATTATAAAATTAAACTGTCATAAACTAGGCCTAACCTAACCAAACAAACTTGCTGATTATATAAAAAATATTTAAAATAAAAATCAAATGAAGGTTTACTAATCGAAAAAATTGTGAAATGCCTAAAATTCAATTTCATCTTTAAAAAATAGATCTAAAACTATAATCGCTCAAATTCAATTTTATTATGTTTTAATTGTAAAATTAAACTGTCATAACCTAACCAAACTTCCCGAGACAATGCAAAAATCTTAGACAAAAAGTTAGCGCCACCGATATGATTTGAACCTCGAACCTGAGTTTCTCAGCCCGGCAAGTTATCCTATCCATTAGATCTACCGAGGCCGTTGGCTTCAAACCGTATTGTTGCGGTAATGGTGTTCCCTCAGCCAATAGAATGCTCTCATTTGTTCGTATTAAAAAACTGCAGCTGAAATAAAAATTGTCCTTCCCCCACTCCGCAGTGCCAGGGGACAACATCGTGATGATATAGCGAAGGTTTAAGACTCCAGTCAACATTATAATGCCCCCCCTGCTGTCGTGTGGACATAGTAATCACCTCCCACGATTGCGGCAAATTGGTATTATACCCGCGGTCATATGGATATAATCGTCTTCCACAAATGAGGAAAAATTCTTATCTTTTCCCGCGATCGTGTGGACATTATCATTGTCTTGCGCAATCGTGGCATAAATCTTATCATCCCTCGCGGCCAATAGAAATCATTATTGTATCTCCCACGGTCCTGTAGACATCCTAATCGTCTCCCGCGGTCGTAAAGACATAGCAATCGTCTCCTGCGATTGCGGAAAAATGTTAAATCCCGCCCGCAGTCATGTGGAGATCATCATCGTCTTTTGCGATCGCGGCACAATTCTTGCTTTTTCCTGCGCTCGTGTGAACTTAATCACCGTCTTCTGTGATCGGGGCAATATTCTGATCATCCCTCGCGGCCGTTTGTAGACATATTCTCCCATGGTCACGGAAACGTCACTACCAACGAAAAAATATACCTACCAGTATCTTAGCAGAAAACCAGGATGCATTATAATCCACCAGGATGCACAAGGTGTAGGCCTACCTATACACCAAATTACCAATCTATTATTTTATTGCTATTAGCTTTAGGAAAATAATAAACCACATACACCAAATTTTTAAAGTTTATTTACAAAATAGTAAATCACTAGTAAAAATTATTTACTTGGTTGAAAACTGTTGTAAGTGGGTATATCTTTGATATGCCTGGGAACATTTCCGAGTCGTGAAAATCCATATGCTGCTTTGATTAAGTGAAGTGCAGCATCAACTGTCTTTTTCACATCCCTTTCTGACCCAATATTTGGATTCACTTCTACTAAGTCCATAACTTTCATCCTGCCAGTTTGGTGGACAATTTCCAATATATGAATTCCTTCCCTCAGAGTTAATCCTCCACAAACTGTTGAGAAAAATTATTGTAAATTATAAACTTACAACATAATTTTTAGGCAAATTAACCATAATAATAAAAATTAATACAATTATGAGTAGAACAATTGTTAAACCTCAGTTTTAACCAACAGATTGTTCACTGCATAACTCACCAGAAACAATCCCATTTTGAATATACAAATTAATTTCTAGTAAAGAAGATTGCAAAGTAAATATCTTTTACCCCCCACCCACCAAAAAATGTTTTAAGTTTCTATTTACAAAGATATCCTAGTTAGGAAGACCGGCATATTAAAAGCTATTAAAATAATTGTTCATCTATTGGATAGGGGCACTCATTCTCAACAAAATAAAAAAAGAATTTAAAAAACGGTTGTGTTTGAGCCAAGAAAAACTAGTTTGAAAATTCAAAAATTTTCTGTGTTCTCCTTCTCCTCCTTCTCCTTGAATGTTGACGGACCTACAGCCCAAACCACTGGCTCAATTTTAATGTTCTTTATGTTGTTTGAAAACCCTTAACGTGTAGATGTGCCTTATGAGGGTCTCAAGTCGGTGAGTTGACCCATAAACCCTTGGGAAGCCTTCAAAGTACGATTTTGGCCCATTTAAATAACATGGGATTAAAATCAAAACAAAAGAAGGACCAGCTGCGATTAAATCTCAACTAAATTAAATGTTAGAGAAATTCATAGGAACAGCTGATAACTATTTTAAAACTTTTACAAAGCATTTTTTCAGGTATACCGAATGATTTGAACTACTTACTATATAAAATTACTTAGAACAGTGATTTTCCCCGATACTTTCCATTACAAAAATGCAGTGTACCGATGATACACTGGTACAGCAGCTCGTCATTTTTAACAGTTTAATACTACTTATCAAAACATATGAAACCTAGGAATTTGAAACGTAGTACTGGTACCATTGACTTTATATCTACACTAGACATCCTATCGTGTACTTAAGGTTTGTTTTATTTTTTGATACACTAAAACAAATAAAACAATCGGGAAAATCACTCTACGTATGTTAAACAAGCAATTAAAAAGTGATATGTAAATTTAGGATAAATTAGTTTTTCAATATTTGTTTTGCCTTATGCTATTTCCAACAAACATAAACTGTTTGATTACGTTTTTACTTCTATAATAAGGGCTCAATTTACACCAGTTTTTAGATATACAGGTTTAATTATCAGGACACTTATGTAACACCAAACGCATTTTATGTTGTTCAAGATGAACATTGATGAATTTACAGCCCCAGACACAGAACCTATATTAATGGATGATGACTAGATTAACTTAATGCAGTTGCAAAGTATGTGTGTTTAGTGTAAAACAAATAATATTCTTAACAAAATCAGATATAGAAAAAACCGCCCTGTTGACTACAAGTTTAACACGTGTTTTCAAAAACTTCAAACGTAGCAATTTGAAACTGAGTTAAGCCCAGGGGGTTTGTTAAATAGTAATTTTGGTGTGTGTCAAAACGTTTTTAATCGGTTTAAAGCAGATAAGACCAAAAATGTAGAATTTAGTTCTACACAAACAATATTATTGAAATGAAATGAGATGTAGTTGTGCCGTGGTCTGTATATCAGAAAAAAAGATTTTTTTTTCAGTTTCCAAACTGAGTCACTTCACATATAACTTCAGCTGACGATGGTGTTCTTGCACCAAAAAATGTCCTTGGAACTAATGTTGTGTTTGAGCTGTCTGGCAGAAATTGTGTAAGTAAAACATGGGCTTTAACTTACCTGAACACCCAGTGGAAGGGGCTTCCAAAACATCCAATGAATCAATGTCAAAGCTCACTTGTAAAGCTCGGTTCCCTTTGGGGTCCACCTGATCAAGCACCATCTCCGTTACTTTGTCTATTCCATACTTCTCTACTTCAGCCATTCCGTAAGCAGGGATTGAGAACTTGTCTAAAAGCACTCTACAAAAAATATAATGCACAAAAATAGGCCAAAACATACTTTTATAAACAGTTAACACGTTGACTACAAAAGCCGACTTTAGTCGGCGTCACTAGCACTTTAATGCGGCACACGCCAACGTAAGTCGGCTCCAGACCCTCTAAAATTTATTGAGTCAGTATGAGCTTAGCCTCAGACAGAATCCGTTATAATCGTTGCAAGCTTGTAGCTTAGGATGTGAGCTTTATTTTGGTGTAGGTTGGTACTAAAGTTTCCCGTAAAGTCCCGTCTGGCAATGCTTTTGTACCGGTTTCTCTGATTTTCTCTCTTCGGCCCACATTACAAAGACACTGGCTACGGATTCAGGCAGTGCTGCTTCATTTGGGTGTTTCAGTGAACTATGTAAGTACTACTTCCACTCTCGGGGTAGCGCAGCACAATCACCACTGCTCTTTTGTGATTCGTCAGACTGAAATATTTGAATTCCAATTGCGTTTGCTGATTTGGTGGCACGCCGGGACTTCGCCCGCCACGGGTGAGTGCCTTTACGTTGTTAATAATAATAATAATAATAATAATCTTTATTGTCATTCAGCAACATAAAATTACAATAGACAACGTCAGAAATCAGGACACAAATATGACATCATGCTTAAATCTATATCATCTTAAGAAGCATTGAACATTTTGTTGCATAAACTGTACATACAGGCCTAATATTTAAATTTAAAATTCTAAGATTGAATGCTCTAACACAAATTTATAAAAAACTTAAGTAAATAATGCCTCAAAACTAAACAATTTGTAAATATTCAGGAAATTAGTAAAAAGATTTTTGATCATGCAGGCTGCCTCCTAGTGGCCAATAGTGTTAAGAGGTCAGAGTAATTATTTGTGTTTAAAAAATCGTCTATAGAAAAAAAAGCTTTGCTAATTAGCCATCTTGATAATGTTGATTTGAAAAGGTTTATGTTATCAATTTATCTAAATGGAATGGGAAGTTTATTGAAAAGTTGTAATTGTTAATATTTATGGCTTTTTGTGAATTTTGAAAGTCTAACTGGTGGGATGTACAGGTTGTTTGATTGTCTAGTTGAGTGGTTATGTATTGAGTGACATTTAGTAAAATTTGTAATGTTTTGTTCAACATAGACTAAATTATTAAAAATATAAATACTTGGAATTGTCATTATATTATTATTTATAAAGAAAGGTTTGCAGTTGACTTTATTTGTTGTGCAGTTGACTTTATTTGTTGACTATTATTTATGTTTTCAGCAGTCAACGAGTTAATATAGTGAAAACTAAAAAAGGTGTACTATAATAGAACACTATAACCTCTAAATTTTAAAAAAATTAATTTAGTTATAAATTATGTATGGTATCTTGTACAAACCTTTCATACTTATCTACAGAACGAAGACCGATGTAGGCAATTTTCTTAACAGGCAATCTGAAAGAGAGAAAACTACTTTTGAAAAATCCATAAATATAAGGATTGAGACATTTAAAAAAGTATTAGGGTTATATTAGACAAAAATTTACCAAAGCAATTAATTGTATTGAACCCTTAAAACCTTTAATTCAAAATTGTGAACAATGTAATTAATTTACCCAAAAATCATCCCTGAATAAAACCACTCATACAACACCACTCAAACTCAAAAAGAAGTATTTTCGTCCCATGGAAATAAATCACAATGAAACTAAATAAAATAAATTTTTAATATTTAAATTTATACTATTGAGGATCCTACAAACAGTGGCGGATCTAGAACAGTCACAAGGGGAACCAGGGAGAACCAGGGAGTTTGGGGGGTTTGGGGGACCGGGGGTACCCCTCCGAAAAATTTGTGTAAACTAAGTCTCCAAAATGGCAGTTTTATACCATTTCTTTGTCCAAAGTAAGTGTGACAAATTATTTTACACAATATGTATGCACTACTGTATTACATGCAGTAAAAAATATATGTCTATGTATGCCCGTGGGAGGGACGGTCTCCCCCTTCGCCCCCCCTCTGGATCCGCCACTGCCTACAAACTTATATAGATGTTCATATCCTATAAGTTCTGACCAATTTTATCTCGTAAAACCGTATTTACATTTTTCCATGGATGTCTCTATATAAAACGTACTGAGTTTTCTGTCTTCAATAATTATTACAAAACGTACGCTTGTTTGTTTTACATGTTTTTCCATAACCAAACATTTATAATCCTTGTGTCGGTTTGTAATATTTCAGGGCTCCTGAACATTTTTTTGAACGTAAAATTTAGCTCACAAACATAAATTATTTTAAGAAGCTATATTAAAAAAGCTAAAGCTAAATTAAAGTCAAATAAGTAGTGTACTTACACAGGTTTTTGCCAGTCCATTCCAGGCAGGTAAGGCCAATAATCGTAGAGTTCTTTTACAAGGAGTGCCACCTAGAACAATATTGTAATAATCAAACAAATCAAATCAACATTTATTATTGTATAAACACAAATACAAATGCACGATCATGTTGACATAGGAGGTACCGGTTGTGCAAATTGTCAGGAATAGGAACATATAAGAACATAAATCAAATAAATGCAAATTATTGTAAAAAGTAATGGTACACTAAAATACAGAAGTACAGTGTGCAAAATTTGTTCATCCTTTTTTCAACATCCCAGATGTTTTTACTTTCTCCCCCTATACATAGTAAATGGAGAACCAAAGTGTTTTCGTCCAAAATTTTAGAGTTCTAGTTTTGGATGGATATATCTGTTTTGGGTCTCCCCTGAACCCTGAACTCCTTTCCTTCTCCTACAGTTGACTCAAACTTTATATAACTAGACAGAAGGCACCAGGCACCAAAGACAGATTAGAGGAATGGTCATAGGCCACCTTCATTAGAAAATACCTTAATTGCTTGAGAATCTACAATGGGGGCAACCAATGTAGGAAATGTGGGAAGTCTAAGAACACTAACACCATTTACTTTAGGACTGCACATTGCACAACCCTGAATGAGGTAAGAGAATCGATTCAAATCTCATAGACAACTAAGCTTTTACTGGATTAAGCTGGATTTTCTTAGCTATGAATTTTGAGCACTGTGTACAGCCACGGCCACATTTAACTCCAGGCTGCGGCCTTTGTAAGGTAACATCGCAAGTAGTGTTGTAACAGCTGTTTTGTTTGGAGGCAGCTAATGGTATTTGTGTGATTTGTTTTTTTAAGAATACAAAAGCTTGGTTTATGGGCTCTAAAAATATTGACTTCACTTGAAATGTGCAAAAATATATTTTAAATTTAAATAAATATATATTTGAATTCTATAGGTTTTATGTTCAATCTTTTAATAAAATTTAAATGAATAGTACACAGATTAATGAGCTGGTATCATCTGTCTGCCATGTTATCTTATGGGACGTCTGGCACTAGACCACACTACTTGCAACGTTGCCAATCATACCAGGATGCTGCCTGGGGTTAAAGGTGGCCGAGATACATCTCTTTGCGGAAATGTCTAGAAATACATTCTCTGTTGTTGAGTAGGCTGCAAAGTGTACTGACCATAAAATGTGATGCTATGTAAGCCTGCTTTAATCTGAACCACCTTGTAACGACCCAAAATCTGTCAAGGGGTAAAAATCTGATTTTTAAAAGTTTCATATTAAGTATTATAATTTTCTACGTTCGGGGTAAGCCGCACCCGTGTTGTCAGCGGCATCGTAGGGGCAAGGGTCCTACGTCATCGTAGAGGGGATGACGCTAGTTACCTACCCCGCCGCCAGGGGCGATGGCGAAGAAGGACCAGAAGAGCAGACCTCTCGGTCAGTTGTCCACCCGCTACCGAACCGTCAATACGCTAGCTGTTTGGAGATAAATCCAACAATCGAAACTTACGAAATTCTGGTCAATTAAAGATTTCCCCCGTTCCTGGTAGAATCCTAAAGCATCAGGTTAGTGTGCTACCAATTTTATTTTTGTTTAATCTAATATTTAGAGAGGTTTTATTATTTTTATTTTATTGTGCCGCAGTCACGCGCACCCCGCACGTTCACGAGCACGAGCACGAGCACACTGCCCTTTTGTCTTTAACCAGCTGCGGAAATCATTTAAGTTGCCAGAACGATATCCGTAGTACTTATTCCGGTACCCTGAACGTCCTGCTTAAGTTTGGTTTAAGAAACCCCGGACCGACTCTGGTGATCGACCGAGTTAAATTTTCCCCGACACGTTTACTTTGGTGATTACCAAGTATAACGACCGAGTCTCGTTTTAGTTAAGTTTCTAATTAATTAGGTTATTCGCATTTCGATAGGTTATTCAAAATTCTAAATTTAACTTTACATATTTTTCGAGTGGATATGATGAGCACTTGTTGAAGGTAAGCTTAACATTGTAAGCATTATTGTTGTAATTAATATTCTGAGCCAATAAACTCGAAACGATAATTAATTAACGACCAAGTTAGAGTCCTGGACTATCTCATAGTAGACTAAGCTATCTGGACAGATTTAAGGTGTGACAGAATTTCAGGTGAGACGACAATTACGTACTATAAAATCTAATTTTGTCTCTCAACCCGAAATTTTGTCATAACCTTCTCTACCCATTACGGCTAAAATTATAAACGTCATCCCTAGGTTAGTAAAGGACAAGTTGTACTTACTGTCATACCATGTACATTCCCTGAAGGCGAAGTATCAGCTGTGTTAAGGTCAGCATGGGCGTCCACGTAGATGAGGCCAATATCTCCGTACTTCTGTATGAGTCCGTCCGCCGAGCCGATACAAACACTGTGATCTCCTCCGAGAACCAATACTTGACTATCTTCTGCTAGAATCTCCTGAACCTTCTTACTAACCTGAAAAAGTCATTTGATAATGCATATTACAGTGGTTGTTGACCTAAGCAGCTCACGTTAAGTTAAAAGTTGAAAATTAGTCAGCCGATAACAATATGTTTTTGTTGGTTATCGTTTTGTAATATGTTAAGTTTTTCTAAAATTAACGTCTTCCCAATCATCAATGGAAATTTAACGACCCATGGGTCTTTACTTCACCTTAAGCTTTACTCACCAAATAATTTGAAACGATAGGTCTTAGGTTTGAGGTATATTTTTTTAGTTTAAACACCAGTAGCATTTTTCTAAGAGAGAATACTATAAATTTTAAGAACATCATTCTAAACCCTAAACATGTCTTAGAATTCACTGAGGATAGCACCTCTATTGGACATTACACTCTTTTCAATTATCAAACAATTATTCCATGTAGCTCTACTGTCCTTACTTCCCTGTTGCATGCAGCCACATCCTCCAAGTCCTTCATGTTCTTGACATGAGAGCTGTTGGAGGTGTTTTGTACCTGATCATGGCTGAACTTGTACGTTATATCACCGTAGTCCCTTACATTATGACCTGTGTAAACACAACGGAAATATTGAATGTTGTAGGATAAATTTTAGAGGGTTTTACACTAAATCGCTGCAAGATTCTGATTCAGATTCTAATTACATAGATACTTTTGGTAACTAATCTCTACATCATTAAGGAAGAAGGATATTGGATACATAACTATTATATCTAAGAAAAGAGTTCCAGGTAGTTTTAGCACAAAGAAAGTTCACAACACAATAAACTTGATATTTCCCCTCTACAAGGGGCCTCTTCAGAAGAAAGTAGAATGGCCATGGGGCTAAATATTAAGGAAGATGGTCTTAAGATTTTAACTAGCTTGCTTTGTTATACATGAGCTGATGGGGACCTTATAGTTTACGGATAGCCCTTGTATATAAAGTAATAATTGATCAATGATAAATAACTATGAAAACAATATAATTTTGAACATACAATGACATAAATTTGTGAATACTGTAAGGTACTCCTAAAAAGATTCAATGCAACTTTTTTTACCCAAAGCATTCAATTCCTTCAAAACTCCTCGCTCACGGATAACCTGAGGTCCTTTTCTAACACCTTCATTGGTCTGAAATCAAGTTTTACTTTATTAGCATTTATTAATACTAGATGGATTCAGAAAACATTTTATTAGATAACTGCAAAAGTAACACACAGTTACAATTGTGTGATGCTGTTTGAAAAAATTATTTGTTTCTGTGACTTAAGGTTTGCCGAAGTAATTTCACTGTAATTTCAAATTATTTCAAGTAATTTTTTTGCCAACCTACGTAATTTCTATGGAATCAAATCAATGTGACCAGATTTATCATAAAAAATGTGAAGAATTATATAACTTCAATGTTTTAAAAACTGTTTAATTTATAGGTTTATTGGGAAAACTTTCCCAACTGTTGTTATTCTAAACACCATGGCTCAGGTTTAAAATACTCCTACTACCTCTTTTACGTAATCATTCTGTAGAATCAGCCAAATGTTAACTGTGGCAGTTTACTGTTATAAATCTGAAGTATTCTTACCTGACCTTTGCTGAGTGGAACACCGATAACACCGATCTTTAACGAAGGTATTCCATCGTTAACAGGTTCTTTATCTGCCAGAGAAGAGAATCTTCTCACCACGGATCTTAAAAAGGTGTTCATTTCTCACTTAGTCTACAAGCAACAGCTCATCTGATATAAAACATCACACTGAGATTCAATTACATTAAACATTTTGTCTAGTCAGCCAAGAATTAAGATGTTTTAAACTATCAATGTACCTCTGTTTAGATGGCAAGAGGTTATCTTTTGATGACAGATTTACAAACAAGATATAGCTGACTGTTTATTTATGCTTTTATTGATGTTTACTATACTATGGTAAACATTCATCTATTGAATATTGATCCAGCTGTAGCAAATGTTCCATGCAAATAAAACATTCCAAAACTGGGATACAGCTTTTAACATAAGGATGCAATGTCTATTCAAAAGTAAAACCTAAATTGAAATTTTACCATAAACGTAACTGAAGTTTACATTCGATCCATATAGCCCAGCTATAACCAGGTCTTTTAACATAGATAAATACTCCCTTGCAGTTTTATTATTATTATATACGGATCAGTTGAAGACAGTATTGTTGAGTGTGTTTGGTTATGCATTATTTGTTATTTCACTAGCTTTAAAGTTTGTACCCAAATAAGACAACAAAGTTCAAGTGTAAACAATGATTGTCTCTTCACATCATCATGCTTAAATGCAATCAATCCTAATTGGATATATCACACTCATGAAAACAGGTGTCAAGTCACAATATGATGAGAATATATAAAGAGATTAGAGTTTTGCAATGCCGTCACAAACGGCGGGGGGGGGGGGGGGGGGATTAAGGCATCACCCAGATTGCAAACAGAAAATCATCTTATTATAACTGTCATATAAGTATATAGTACTAGGGGACCGAGCCTTGCTCGGTTTTAGTTAATTGGGTTTAACAGTAAAAATAATAAATAACTTCTTGATCAGCATTGTACGTGTTATTAAATTTACGGAAAGTAAATAAAAGAAACGTCTTATAACACTTAAAACATATATTTACGCTTATACTGTTACTCACAAGACGGTAAATATACAAAAACGATGGTAAGTGGTGATCGATTTCGATTGGACACTCCAATCATCATCAGACCCAATAGGCGAATCTAATAGATTCGCCTATTGGGTCTGATGATGATTGGAGTGTCCAATCGAAATCGATCACCACTTACCATCGTTTTTGTATATTTACCGTCTTGTGAGTAACAGTATAAGCGTAAATATATGTTTTAAGTGTTATAAGACGTTTCTTTTATTTACTTTCCGTAAAAATAATATCATGATCACACACACTTTATCATTTACAAAAACAGTTTTATTACAAACCAAAAAGATGTAATCGCTTAAATAATATGAATTGCGATGCACGAGTGTCCATATTATATCATCTATATATTTAATACGCGACATGAAACTTTGTGAACAATAAGGCTTCTTTGTTTTAAGATTTAACCCCACATACTATATACCAAAATGTTCGTCTAGGTGTGTAGATGTGCAAACTGGCTTTAGATTTTTTAAATATATCTTTTTAAGGGCGTTGGCTGCCCTCAAATTTCCTTCCATAAGGATAACATTGTGATTGATTTATTATATTTATTATATTGAATGTTATTATATTCTGAAACCGATATCATTAGTTAGAAAATAAATAAATCCCAGCTGTTTTGTTTGGTTTAAAAAATGTAAACAGTTTGCATGTTTTTAAAAATAATTAGAAACCCGGTAAAGAATAATGTTACCTATAGGACACTATGGGAGAAGTTTTACATTTTATTTTTGTTGAAACATGCCAAGGACCCGACGACAAAGAAATTATTGCCGGTCGGACACGGAGAGTCAACATACGGCAAGCAATGCAAAACGAAAGGAGCCCAGACGAGGAGTTGGAATAGTTAATGGTAACGTGTACTTACAAAATTACACTGACAAATACAAGAACTCAGCAGCATTCACTTGGCAAGATGGCATTAAAATGTCAGAAATGTGGTGCGCTACATTTTAAAGAAGAAGAAATAGCACGAGGCGAAGGATTTTCATCCTGCTGCCATAAAGGAAAAGTGAACTCATGCACATTTTGACTCAACCTTTGGTTGATATTAATCCATACGTACAAGTTTTTAGCATGATGAGCTCCGTCCTGCAAAATACTCCTACTGAACAGCAAAAAGAACTTAGAATGCATATAGCCAACGATCGAGCTCAAGACCAACGCCGATACAACGACGCAACTTCTAACGACGTTGCTATAATATCCTAATTTATTATTCGTGCGAATTCGCACGGATTCACCTAGTATTTATTTATATCAGGTTTATCATATTATTAGTGGTCATATTTATTTTACCTGGCATTCAGGAGCACTCCCATATTGCTAAGGGTTTTAATGGACTTAAAAACCATAATATTTATTTTTACTTACTTACAATATAAACAGGTATTAAAACAATCATATATCAACAAATTTTTATTTAACAATAAGTAGCATCCAACAGAATTTTAGAAATTAAAACTATACTTTTTGCTTGCATAAAAACCTTCCTGATCTTAAAGTTGAAATATCTAAAAAAGCGAGGAAACTTTCAATATTTAGAAAAAATTAGATCGTCAGTGTAATTATGATTATACAAACAAAAGTTAAATAAAGTACCGGTGAAAGAAAAATAATTTAGAAACTATATTAAAGCGTTCCTAGTACAATACTTGATATTTTTACTAATACCATCAACAGTAGATAATTATCATTAAGTATTATAAATACTGTCCAAAGTCATGTAAAATTAAGTACCAAACTCCTTACTGATCATTTAAGGAATTAAAACCAGTCCAAATACAATCAATTTTGTTCAGAATTAAGTCATAACTCGGTTATAAAATAACTGACTTGCAACACAAATTGGCAATTCAGTTCAGATTGAACGAATCAGGTGAAGAATTGAGACGTGACTCAGTTTCTAAAAGAACCAATTGTAACAAAAATCTACTGTTCAGATTGAACATATCATGTCATCAATTGAGCCATGTCTTAAAGAATCGGATTGACTTGGTTTCTAAAATAGCTGACTTGTGACAAAAATTGACTTGAAGATAGCTATATTTCACTTAAATATTATGATTTAAAGCTTTGCTAATGGATGATCAAGAAATGTTGAAAAACATTAGGGAAGTTAAGGTTGTTATCAGACCTAACCATAACTTATATAGGCCATAAACTTTTCTAACCTTAGATAGACAATCTTGAATCTTGTGACCTCAAACTCTCAAAACTATTTCACTGATCACTTTGAACTTTGCATTTGACATAAGGGAAATGAAATCTAAAAAAAAAAAACTATTTTGTCATACTGCAGCAAAAACAGCCATTTTAATGCATGTGTTGCAGGTCTAAAGCAGCATTTTTCCTCTCTAGGGAGTAAAAATCGTTTTAGCCTCTAGGGAGTCAAAATCTGCTATTAATTGTCAACTCAGTTGTAAATTTCTATTGTAAACAACTGCATGTATCGAAAGTATATATAAATTGCTGCCTTATTGTAAATAGTTTGACATATCGATAGTATAATGTACACTAATACAACCGTAATATAAGAAACGATTGAATCACTTACTAAACAGCTGCCGTTTTCCGTTTACATTAGGAAATTAAATTAAAATCAAGTTACAACAAGTTTTTAGAGGTTATCTTTAAATTAAAAGTATTTTAGTTTTGTAACATAGTTTGTTCAAATAATGGTGCATTATGACGAAAAATATAGTTCATCACACGGGCAAAAAGAGTCTTTTCAACCCTTGCTAATTTTTGCGCGCGTACAGATTGGCCAATGGTTCGAGGTCTTTTCTAACATACAGATTGACCAAAGGTCCTAATGAGCAGGGGCAAAAAATGGGGGAGGAGCTTACAGCAGTTATGTGTGTGGGGGAGGAGCTAGTCTATTCAAGTAAACTGTTTGTTGACGTTTTCTAATCTTACCAGATACAGAGGTGGTCTCTTTAATGCTATTGAATATCGTAGAACCAACTTGTGTAGTTGAAAAAGCTGACAACATTTTTTAATTAATTTTAAATATGAATACTCATAAGGTTAACATGGGAAACTATGGAGCCATTGGGGCAGAGCCCGAAATGATTTTTGGGATAAGAATATGTCTAGATATGTTAATCGGGAATGTGAGCTATCTTCATTTCATACCAAATTTCAACCCGATCCGACCAGTAGTTAATGCGTGATTGGATATCAAACAAATGAACAAATTCACAAAATTTCACAATATTAGTACTACGATATATTGTAGTTTTTAAGGGTGATAACATGATGTCTCATCATATCTCTATTATTTTCATTGCGTGCGCGATCTCTTCAAGGCAACTTAGAAAGATTAATAATACTAATGACACATACTATGAAAACACAAAATCTAGCGTAAACCATTTTCTTCTTTACATTTTATACAAAAAATACAACATTTTCTTTATTTAACTTAAACATCACCGACTTACAGATAACCCAATTTTCGTATGGATGTAAACAAAATTGTACCATGGACATATGTTTTGATGTAATCAAAAATTCTTTGTAAACTTGAAAAAGTTCAGATTATTGACAACAGAATTCAGCACAAACTATGCAATTTTAAAAGCTAATATGACGAGGTTATATGCTTTCACGGGATATCATACAAACGGAATAATACCTCCAATTTGGAGTTATTATTTTCTTTTAGCGGCAACTGAAAATGTAGCTGACTGAATATTAATAACAAATTATTATTTATTTCAGGATTTTAAGGCAAAATGTTAAGAATTATTTGAAGTTTAGAATTTTAATTTTTGGTTTTCGTAAATGTTGAATAAGTGAGTAGATTTTTATATTCTGTGGTAGAACATTATATTCGGGTTATTTCACTTCCAATGGAATATATTTTTCCTTTTTTTAACTTTTGTTAAAATACTACTCCTATAATGAATATTGCTAGATTGGTTTTGTGAACTTAAAAATGAACATCGTGTGCGAAATACTAAGACGGGTGGATATTCAAGGTAATTTTCAAACAATGTGTATACACATAAAAACGAGAATGCTTATACTTGGATCTTGAAAGAACACTTCAGGACTTTTAAATGGTAACATTATCCTTATTGCTATAACTAGGTCAAACAAACTAACAATTTCGTAGCCAACTCGACCTCCCAAAAAATGTACTTTGTGTACTTATCACGTCCTGGTTGAAATTCGTTCGCTACGCTCACTCACCTTTAGATTGGAGCTCGTTCGCTGCGCTCACTTGCCTTCAGGTTAAAGCAATATCCAGAAGTAGGACAATGAATTCTGATTAACAGTTTACATAAAACTTAGTGTTTTAAAAAGTAAAATTCGTCTCTTGAGTTTGGCCACCTCTGTTACTGGTAAGATTAGAAAAAGTTAACAAACACTTGATTGAATAGACAAGCTCCTCCCCCACGGGACATCGCTGCTGTAAGCTCCTCCCCCATTTTTTGCCCCTGCTCATTAGGACCTTTGGTCAATCTGTATGTTAGAAATGACCCTTAAACCATTGGCCAATCTGTATGTGGCCTAATTTTTTGACCTCGGCTTTGCATCAATCGTAAAACTTGAGCTTGGGTCGAAAAGAGCCACATTAGACCCTAGTGATGAAAAATACTATTTCATCCTCTATATTTTTATAATAATCTGTCTATATCTCTAGTTCTGTAATATTTTGTAGTATTATGACATTATTTTGATAAAAAGATGCTATTATAATTTGTCACCAAACTTATTTGTGAAGAAAAAGTTACTACATAAGAGAGAACAGAATTTTACAGCAGCTGTTTAGGTGGCTCAATTGAAATATGTTTTTTCATTTTTTTATAATTCTAAAATTGGCCATAAATTTAACATAGGAATGGAATTTTCTACTTTACAATATCAAATGCAAATTTAAAAAAGTTAAGTGCAAAGTTAAAGTTAAAAAGCTAAAACTGAGGAATTGTGGTTAAAAATAAATCAATCTGTGTGATTTCGGTATGGAATCTTGCTCAATACTGTTATCTAACAAACAAACTAAAAAAATTGAAAGATGAAATAATAATAATAATTGACAGAAATTACTTAAATAAATAATACTGAATGTTCAAACAGAACAATATAATACTTCACCATAGAAGTTTGTTTTGTCACAAACTCTAAACTCTATCAATTAACCATCTGAAAACTAAAAGCCACCGAAACCTAAAAATATACCTAATTCAACCTATAGAATTGATTATAAGGAAACTATTTTTTTAGCGTGATTACAGAATTTAAGGGGTTTTGTCACTTTGCACCAACTGATTACGGGTTAAACCAAAGTCGTCTTTTTTAAATTTCTTGGATGAAAAAATATTTTTTACTCTTCAACACTACAAATTCAACCCAACCCATGTTTCACACCCAAACAAAAATAAAATTACCAGGTTTTCATGGCTATCCTTGTACTGAATAGTTTAATGTCAAACTACTCATGGTAACTACCACATTCATATCTAAATCATGAAACACATTTTTAAATTATTCATTAAATAAATAAAATAAATAAGGCACTTTCCTAAAAATGATACAGCATTAAGTAACAGCCTACTTAAACTAAAACTTTGTGACTATCTAAGTTTGTCCCACTGTCGCCAGTATTCCTCCGTCTGCATTTCCGAGAGTCGAGAAACTGTTCGATCGAACGCAAATATCTCCTCGTCTCCAGTGAATATTGTTGCTGTTGCATTTTCCTGGAAGAAATGTATGTTTAAATAGGGAAAAGGCTGTGTGAAAAAAGTAGAGAGAACTACTTACTACTACGTAGTTACTCAATTTTACAACAGGGCATCTTCGTCCAGGGCTATGCGGATGACGTAGTCCTCGTGGTACAGGAAAAATTCACGAACATTGTAGCTGATGTCATGAATGTCAACCTAAGTGTTAAAGCATGGTGTCTGTGAGAGGGGCTCAATATTAATCCCTCTAAGACAGTCTTAAGTCCCTTTCACCAAGAAAAAGAACTTAGATTCTCTTTCCAGGTTGAAAATTGGTACTACTCCGCTGGGAGTGTCAAGCACAGTCAAGTATTCAAGACTGACACTTGACTCCAAGCTGACGTGGAACAACCACCTGAACAATGCACTGCATAAGGATAAATGGGCGCTCATGACGTCCAGGAGATTTGCATGGGAACTAACACCATGTAACACTCTGGCTATATGAGGCTGTGGTAAGGCCTCAAATTACCTATGGTTCTCGGTAGTCTAATGGGCAAAGATGAATCAAGTAACTGTCATAGCCAAATTATAAAAAAACAGAAGCTGTATGTCCTGTGCTTGACATGACCTCAGATGTCCTGAGCACAGAGGCAGTTTTCACCAAACCCTTCACTGTTGAATTCCGCTCCAGGGATAAGTGGTAACGTCGGGAAGGACATCTCCAAGAAACAGAGACCTTCGTCTAGTACACTGACCTAATTGATGGAAAATGAGGCTTCGGAGTATACAGTCGATCACCTTGAACGGAACTTTCTGCCAGTCTGGGACGATACTATACCATCTTCCAGGCAGAAATTTGTGGCATCTTGGCTTGTGCCAACCTAGGACTAGCCATACGCTACCAAGACATGAAGATAGTGACTTTGTCTGATTGTCAGGCTGCTCTTAAAGCTCTTGATTCAAATGAAGTCACTTCAAAGCTAGCCCGGGAGTGTTTCAACACCCTGCAAACTATCTACACACAGCTCTGTAACTCTTGGCTGGGTTCTGGGCTATGTAGGAATACGTGGCAACGAGAGTGCAGATAAGCTGGCAAAAAAAAGTGCGAGCATGCCATTCCTTGGACCAGAGCCATTCCGTCGCACTAGCAAATCTACCGCCTAACATGCAATCAACAAATGGTCCAGGGAACAGCACCTAGAGTGTTGGCGTAAATACCCTGGACTATCACTTGGCAAGAAACTGCTCTCAGAAGCTAGCATTCTCTTCACTTGCTGGCTGCTAAAGGACAGTATAACAATATCAAGGAAGGTTGGAAGGTCAACAGGTACTTGCTCTTATAACTGGACAGGGCTATTTCAGGAAACACCTTCACACTCTAGAAATCGTTGACAATGAGGAGTGTCGACTTTGCAACCATTTCCGATGAGACTGCAAAACACATTATTCTACACTGCAACAGACTTGGGGCTATAGAAGGGCCCTGTTTGGTCTACAGCAACTACGTGATGAATCAGCCACTAACATTGGACAAAAGCTCCTGCAAGGACACCACGTTTACAGTTAGTGGCAATTAGGGTATGCACAATAAGCATCGGTTGATGTGCATGGACCCTGTGTCCAACCCAATCTCAATCCAATACAATACAATAAAATACAATTTCTAAAAACTATACAGCATTAAGTAACACCCTGATTTTAAACTAAAACTTTGTGTTCATCTCAGTTTGTCCCACTGGCTCCAGTATTCCTCCGTCTGCATTTCCGAGAGTCGAGAATCTGTTCGATGGAACGCAAATATCTCTTCTTCTCCAGTGAATATTGTTGCTGTTGCATTTTCCTGGAATAAACTTATGTTTGAATAGGGAAAAGGCTGTGTGAAAAAGTATAGAGGACTACTTACTATGTAGTTACTCAATTTTACAACAGAACAAAAATAAACAACCTAGATTGATAGTAAGACAAGGGGTGAGACTGGTCTAGTGATTAGGGTGTAAGACTTTTGTCCCGAAGGCCTCAAGTTCAAACACCACTAATGAGAAAATCACAGTTTACTACAAGATAATGTCATTGCCTGATGCTTCAGAACCTACCTTGACTGTAAGCGCAGCCCACGCTATCAAGTAAAAAGATTCATAATCATGTGTTACCCATTTTATTGTACTTATTGTAGTATGTTACAGAAACAACATTGAAATACTCATAATAACTGAATCGAGATTAGTGCAAGTTTTCTTTACTTTTCAAGGCAGTTGCTCGACCCTTTCTCATACACGTGAAAAAATATTGCTATGGTTTGAGATTGAAGAGATGTTCTTGTCATAACGCAATCTGGTAGGTGGTAGCATCTGACAACGAATCAGTGAACTATTTCAAACTAGGACTGTATGCCACATTTTTTTCAAACAGATGTATTATAACTATGGAAGGTTGGTTTGGTACTATACAAGGTTATAAAATACACCCTTTAGGGAACTGTTGAGCTGTAAATATGGACCTATAGACCTAAAATTTCATTTGACAGGCCTACTCTCTAGGTATATTTTGCATTCTTTTTTATTACCAAATTTAAGAAATGAATATGAATTTAATCACACTTATGGGAGAGCGAGCTGGTCAGGTGGTTAGAGCTCGGGACTTCGGTCCCGGGTTCAATCCAGCCAAATCACCATGGATTTTATCTTAGTGATAGTGCCGCTACCCCAAACACCTGAGTAAAAAACACCTTTGTTATGCTAACCAGGAAAGGGCAAAACGAGGGTTGTTTTAGCTCGATTTGAGACAAAACTACTTTAGTATGGTCCGGGGAGTGTTAAAAATCACTTACAGATCCTGGGGCAATGTTCAGATCATCCATGAGCATTCTCTTTTCATCCGTGTGTTCCTCGTCTCCATGAGCAATGAACAGTGTTTTGTGAGGCGCATCAGCGGACACTACCACTCTTACCTGGGAAGAAAAATAATCACTAGTACAATAAATAGCGTATATCAATAGAAAATTAGAGTAAAGAGAGTAAAGAAAACAAAAGCCACTACCATCTCCTTTTGAAATGGAAAAATAGGAGAGGCTAATGCTGAGAAATCAGGCAAAGGAACAAATAACACTTAATACGTTTGCTACCGGTATGCATACAAAAATACGAATAGCCTGGGGGCTCTAATATGAGCCGTTGTTACAGTGAAATGAAATATGCTTTATTGTCTTTTGAATTTGTACAAATCATCGACAATGTCAAGATACAGCTAAAATTATAGCATAGTCAGGTAATTAATTAATAAAATACTTATAGCTAACTTAACAAAGGGAGACATATTATAATACATATTCTAAATGAATAATTACAACTGAAGAATCTTATTCTTAAAAAAATCTTCCAAACTATAAAATGGGTTATTGGTCAGCCAACAATAAAATTTACTTTTGAAATCCTTTATATTGTGTAATTTAATTATGGATTCAAGAAAGTTGTACACTTTAAGTGATAAAACTATGTGACTATTTAGAGTTTTACTTAAACGATGGAATTCTATTGTGGTATGGTTCTTATTTCTGGTATTATGATCATGAGTATGGTTTCTAAATTTTAAAAGATGTTGATTTTCCAAGATATAAACTATTAAGTCATAAATATAAACGTTAATAATAGTAGGGATTTGAAGATTTCTAAAAAGTGGTTTGCTGTGGTCTCTTGAGCCTTTATTAGAGAAAGTAAATAAAAGAAACGTCTTATAACACTTAAAACATACATTTACGCTTATAATGTTACTCACAAGACGGTAAATATACAAAACAGATGGTAAGTGGTGATCGATTTCGATTGGACACTCCAATCATCATCAGACCCAATAGGCGAATGACAAGAATCTTAATGGCGTCACTACTTATACCCTATTGGCTACCGGAAGCACCGGCCAATACATTTTTATAAGTATAACTGGAATCAAAATGTATTTGTTCATTAATCAACTTATTTCTATTTTTACATTTTTCCTTATAAATATACAATTCTTCCCAAGCATTCATTACATATCCTTTCTTACAATTCTTTAAAATATCTAGACTATCCTCAATTTTTCCTAGTGAGTGGCCATTTTGTAACAGGTGTTGTGCGACATTTGATCTTTCCGGTTTGTTGTTCCTCCACGCAGATATGTGGTTTTTGAAGCGGTTAACGAAGTTCACAGTCTGTCCAATGTAGAAGTTATCACAATCGTTACAATTAATTTTGTAGATGCCCGAAGCGTTGAATTTGTTGAAATCTTCTATTTTCGGATGCAGTATTTTACTCATGGTGTTTTGAGTCCTGTAGGCTATTGATACTCCGTATTTCTTGAATCTGTTAGCAGTCCTTTGTGTCGTAGTCCCCGTGTAGCTAAATGTGATATATCTGGTGTTTTCCTCTTTTATCTCTTCTAATGTTGTTCTGCTGTGTAGTGTATTCTGCCTATCGATTTTCCTCCTCGTCTTCCTTGCGATGTCCTCTATCGTCTTGGTTCGAAATCCATTAACTTGAGCGATCTTCTTAATGGTGTCCAGTTCTTTCTTCCTATTAGCTTGGCTAAGTGGGATCTTATAGGCACGGTACAGCATAGATCTAAAGGCTGCGGTCTTGTGGATTGTCGGATGGATAGACTTCCTGTTGATTGTAGTGTCCGTTTGCGTAGGTTTCCTGTAGATGTCAAACTCTATCTTGCTGTCTTTTCTCTCTAATGTGAGGTCCAGGAAGTTGATCTTTTTGTTTTCTTCAAACTCGTTGGTAAAGGTGAGGTTTGGGTGGTGGTCCTTTATTAGAGATAACTCTAACCGCTTTCTTTTGCCAAACAAGAATTTCCTCTACCCTAGCACAATTGCCCCAAAAAATTAGCCCATACCTGAAAATGGATTGAAAATATGAAAAATATGCTGTTCGGACATAATTTAATGGAATGCATTTTTTCAGACGACCTAGTAAAAATATTACACGAGAAAGTCTGGTATTTAAATAGTCTATATGAGAATCCCAAGTTAGCTGACTATCTACATATATTCCCAAAAACTTTGCTGAAAAAACTTTACTACCCTTATCACTGTTCTCAAAAAACTCTCTTGAATTATAATTTAAGGAAAATATCAATTTTTGTGATTTTTCTTTGTTAAGCAAAAGTCCATTACTATGAAACCAATTTTGTGCATTATTTAATGTTTCATCAGCCAATTTTTCAAGTTATTTATAGTTTTTACTAGTAGATAAAATGGTAGAGTCATCTGCGTACAGAATGGTTTTACAATCAACAGAAGAGGGTAGATCATTTATATAGATTAAGAAAAGAAGGGGACCAAGGACTGAACCCTGTGGCACTCCCCACTCGACTGACACTTCATCTGACCATCTTCCTTTTATACAAACTGCTTGTTTCCGATTTTGCAAGTAGCTTCTTAAAAAAGATAATGGAGGGCCATCAAATCCATAGTACTGTAATTTAGAGATGAGAATATTACTGTCAACAGAGTCAAAAGCTTTACTGAGGTCACAGAAGGTGGCCTGAGCATAAGTTTTATTTTCGAATGAGAGATGAACTTGCCTGACTAGATTGTCCAATGCATTGATAGTGGATTTTCCCTTTCTAAAACCGTATTGGTTGTTGTTCAAGATGTTGTTTTTTCAAAATAATTTCTGATTTGATCGTAAATAAGTATTTCTATTAGTTTTCCCAATACAGGTATAATTGAAACTGGTCTGTAGCTCTGAGGTTGGTCTTTAGGACCTTTTTTGTAAATAGGACAGACTCGAGAGACTTTGATTCTTTTTTTCTTCGTCTGCTGAGTGGTCAATATTGTTGGTGTGTAAATTTTGATGCTTTTAATTTCAGTAATTTGATAGTTTTTAAAAGTTCTGTGACTAAAGTAATAGTTTAAACTATAGGTAAAGTATTACTTAATAAATGGAAACATAAGACTTTAAATGGGTAATTAAAACTGAGTTAAAAATGTAATTACAAAAATACTCACTTTAATCTGAGCAAAAAGCACATGTTTTTAACAATAAATGAAAATTCTTCTAGTGAAAACTGCAAGACCATATAATGCACTCTTTATAAAGCTGATTAATTATTATCAATTATTAACACTTAATCGTTGGACTATTGCAATATTTCGCAAAAATAAATTAAATAATACACTCAAGACAGGAAGTAACCTACACTTGACTCATGCAACAGGTTTCTGCTGATGACGTCTGGACCTCCACTCCCCCTACCCATCACTAACTTGCAGACAGCTTATCACTTGGAACTGACCCTTGGATACAGTATCTCCAGCTGTGTTTACATTGCCAATAGAACTCTTTAAATCATTGTTGCAAATTATCTGGAATTAGCTGTCACCTTTTTTAAGCCTATTTTATTTTCTCAAGTTTTATTGCTGTTGAATATTGACACCGTATATTCCATAATTTTATTTTTTGAACAATAACATAATATACAATGATTTAAAATAATGAAGTAAAACTGCAGAAGATTTAATTGAGTAAATGGTCACAGCAATAACTGCACTGCAATTACTACAACGGCATTGAAATAGATAACAACTGGCACTACTAACTTGTTCCAGTGTACCCATAGCCGAGACCTAATCAAGATTTGTTATCATCTTTATTTATGGACTTAAAACAATTACAGCACCTATTTTGTTATGACTATTTGCTACATGGTTTTTTAATGAAATAAAATTGACACTGTTATCCTTTATTTAATGGGATAATTTATTATAAAAATAAGACTTTAGTATTATTATTTAAAATATATATATATATATATATATATATAAATAATAATAAAGTTTTTAAAATGAGCCAATGTGGTGTGTGTAAAAGAAATGTAAGGTCTTCAGCTGTACAATGCAAAGGAATATGCCACAAATGGTTTCATACAAAATGTTTGAATATGCCTTATAGTGATTATAATGAAATTTATAAAGGAGAAAATTTGGACTGGAGGTGTCTTGATTGTAACTCAACATCAAATCATAATAGTCATGAAAAAAGTTCCAGCATAGTTGATTTAGAGAAAAAGGTTACAAGTGTGAATTCTGATGAAAACGAAGACTTAGAAAGTTCACTAATTCTGGCTGCTGAGGCAGGTAATATTTTGCTAAAGGAAAATGAAAAGCTGAAACAGGAGTTGCATAACGCAAGACAAAATTACTCTCAATCCAAATTGGAACTTGATGACAAGATTACCCAATTAGAAAGTCAACTTGAACAATGCAATTCCCTTTTCAACAAGGAAAAGTACGAACTTGGTCTGAAAATCAAAGCCTTAGAACATAAAATCAAAACAGAGATGGCTCATAAGGTTTCGTTGATTGATCAAGCTGAAGCAGAAAAAGACAGTTTAATCAATGAATTAAATTTGCGCAAGAGTCCATGTGAACAGTGCAAGATATTAAAGGAAGAGTCAGCTAAGATGCTAGAATCTATCAGATGTCTTGAAGCACAAAAAACGGACTATGGAATTGGTGAATCAATTAAGGATCTTAACACATGTCTACAAGTCCTTGAAATCGACAATCGAAGCTTGATAGAAGAGCTCAGGACAGTAGAATCAAAACTAAAAAAGGCTCACGAAGAACTTGATTTTTTTAAAGACATCTCTACATGGAATCCAGCAACTCCATTCACTGTACAAAAAGGTACATCAGACATACCATTAAAAAATAGATTTACAAAGTTAATTGACTTGCAAAATGTAACTCAATGCAGTACTTATAATGAAAAAAATGAATACACCTCACATAGCAAGAAGATTAAGAATAGTCAAACCAAAATAAATTGTGGACCTACAACTAAAAAATCAAAAATATTAATTCTTTCAGATAGTCATGGGAGAAAACTATCAGACTTAATGAGCAACAAAATTGGCAAGAGATTCTCAATATCGTCAATCATAAAACCAAATGCTAAATTTGAA